TTCATTTGCCTTTCAATGCATAAAATCTTCAACAATATCATGATGTTTTTGATTCACTCACCTTCAGGAAACATTTTCCAGTGGAGACCAATTGCACCACACAATGATCTATTTTTTTTACGCCACCTCAGAATGAAATAAGCAGCAAATTCGGTTTGTTCCGTGCAAATGGAACACTCACAAGTATTATAGTGGCTGGTTCTCAATCCAGCAAAATGATATTTTGATCCTTATAAATGACTTAGGTAATGCCCGTACAATTGTGAGGAAGCGTGAAGGATATGTCTATATAAATAAGCTCAATCCAAATAGTTTCTTCCTGTTATCCTGATGGAAAATCAACCGTTGTATCTTGATGATGAGTGTATCAGGATGATAAATGAGGTGTCATCCTTATCACAATGTGATTCTTCATTGAAATGAGTTGAAATATAGGAAATATTTCTCGAACATTTCATGGCTACTTTGACAGGCGTCCCAACAGATGAGATACAATCATGATAGGAACACAGCAAATGTAATTTTTTTGAATATAGAAACAAAAAAATATTGGCATTTGTGATCGTACGCCTTCAATTCGAATTGAAATCGATTTGTTTATTCAATGATTCGTGGGGATTTTCTTCAGTCTGAAGGATGAACCAATTCTCGGTTTTCAGTACAAAATTTCGGTTGATTGATTTTCATATGCCTATCATAGCAAGGTATAGAGACAGAAACAGGGCTGGATACAATTATTGTTGCATACAACTCTCTGTTTTATCAATGAAGCATCTCATCATCTGGGGCAGATATAAGCGAATTGAATTTTGAAATTCATTAAAATCATTCATCTCATCATCTCAAAATGATCTGAAGTATGATTCGATTGAAACACCAAGTCTATCGACCACAAAAATTAACTGAATTGACATATGAATAGTTCCAGTACCCGGCCATCATCAGATGTAAGAAATGATTCTATGATCTACATCGATCTCTCTCAGCTATTTCTCACATCATTACTCATGTCTGGATAATTGGCCTTGGGCCAGAACTAAACTGGTCAACATTGATAACGTCGTGCTCCAAAATATTGCCAGAATTCAAGGTAGAATCCCACGAATTTCCTCACCAATTTGAAATCGGTTTTCACCGATGATTAGCCAAATCTCTTAAAAGTTTGTTGCGACAATATGAAACTTCTGTAATTTCAGATAACATTGCTACAGGGTGATGATTGAATGGGTGTAAAATTGCATCGTGGTTGTCACCTCACCGTTCGAACAGATAATTTTTTCATTCTTTTTACCCACCTGTATCCTCTTGATTGATGCTAAGTCTCGGAAAGTTTTCGGAATTTTCGAATTCAAAGCTTTGATAATCGTGTTATGAATATTCAATCAAAATGATGCATTTTTTCGACGATTAATTGAATTAAATTGAAAGTTGGAATTTTTTTCCGGAGAATCAACGTTGTATGTATAGTCGTAGGATATGTGATAGTGTTCGAACACAGAAAATTCTGAAAAAGTCTATACAAAGTGATACAAGAAATACGGAATGATGGAATGGAAAAAAACGTAGTCTTCAGTAGACGAAACATAATTTTCTCTGTGTTACTAGTGAAATAATGGAGTGTTACTCCGTCATGAGGATATCTGGTGTCTGACCTCGAAATGGTTTCGTAATTTCTTGGATCGAAGGTCATATGATGAAAGTAAGCATTTTTAATCGAAATAATAAATTTTCGTTATAATGCATTATAAAATTTAAAAAATTACGATTGTAGTTCCAGAAGTATGAAATTTATATTTATTCTTGACGATGGATATACAAAGTGCGATAAAGAATATATGTTCAGATTGTCCCTTCCAGGATGAAGAAGGAAACGTTTAAACATGAAATATAGTGTCGGTCATTGTCGAAATTTATGAAATGTTCATACTAATGGAGATGAATACAACTAGTCCTCATGAGGCTTATACGAGGTAATATGAACGAGACTTTACCTATTGGAATGAACGTCAATCCAATATGCAATAAGGATTTTTTTGTCATGAGAAAACATGATAGAAATAATTGTGAGTTTAAGTTAGGCAATCTATATTTTTTTCAACGCTATTCGTCAAAGCTATAGCATCAGGTGAGATATTATCAACTCTCTATGAATCACCCTGTGTAAAAGATGATGCGGAAGCCTACCCATATACATTTATTCCTGAAAAACAAAAAAAGATCAATGTGAAAAATCAAATCATCAGGTATTATTTTTGGTTAACTGTTCATCATTTATCAACATTACAGAATCAATTTTTTCAAAGCTGTTACATATAGTTCAATTTGGATGGATATGTGCTCATTGTTGAATATTGGAGCAAGAAATGTTCCATATTTTCAAGGTATCACACAATGAGGATGGTGATTCTATAGAAGAGAAAAAACATTGATACAAAATATAGGTACATTATATAATATATTCTAGTCATTTGTAATTTCAGAACAAACTACATAAAAAATTGAACTTGGAATAATTATTTTCAATATACATTATAGTTGTCGAACTGACTCATATACAAATATATTTTAGACGTTGATGGAGTATCTGCGAGCCGCGGGGATACTAGGTCCACTTGAATTTAGATCAACTGGCATCGAGTTTTAATCGGGTAGATCATTATCATCAGCACCCTGAAATTTGAAAATTCCTCTATAGAATATTATGTTGAATTTCTCCTATTATTTTCTTAACAATTCAAACAAATAATCCTATTTCAAGAGATTCATTGAAAGAATAAACTGTTAACAGGTAGCGAACGTCCCGTGAACCCATCCAAGTAAGGCCATTCTTCATAAAACTTCACTTTGACTCAAATCCAAGGAAACCGAATGAGAAAAATCAAGAACCGTTACCTGAAATTTTTTCCCGTGTACCTTCTATGAGAAATAAGATTTTTTGCAAACATTCACAGTAGAGAGTCTTTTCATTTTGATTTTTCCCAATTTATTTCTTGGCTTTTGTGAAAAATAACCATAAAAACTCCCCTGTTTCGGTAATACCTTGAGGTCAATTCATTTATTTTTCTGATTTTATATATTCTTTTGATCTTCAACAAAATTTAAACTACTCAACAACTGACTTCCTACTGAAATTTTGACACCATAGAGCACACTCTTTAAAAATATTGAGAAGCTACAACCAGAATAGGAGTAATTTTCATTATATAACCTCTTCAAATGAAAAATAAAAGGCATGAACCACGAATAAAACGGAGATATACTATCAGATGTAACAATTAATTGCAAATGATCAATCATTATAAGGAACTGGAGGGCTCAGAATCATTTTCAGAAGGAGAAAAACATATCACTAAAAAACGTGTGTGCCCAAAAAGATTTCTTCATGCACGGAGAAATTGGAATGGTAAATTACTCACCAAGGAAGTTTTGCGTAAACTTCTCCGAACCCTGCTGATTCAAAGTGTCGTCGAGGAACTGCTTATGCTGCTTCTATTCTTCAACTTTCGACCTGGGGCTAGTCGCCATATAGGGATAATTTCACTGGGAGAAATGTTTTCGGAATAGTCACAATCACTTAATGTAAGTTAACACAAATGTTTTAGAATAGAAAAAGGCAGGCATAAGTGTTCACAAACACGGCGAGGATACATAAGTACATATTCTTAGTATACAGATACAGACTGAGTTCATCAATGGAATGAAGTGCAGAAGAGTTGCGCAGTCATCTCGTGGCGTAACCGTGAGTATTCAAAACTAGCCGAATGATGACGAAACAGAGAAATCAAGTGAACTGTTACCTGTTGTTATCAAACTGGTAATAATGACAGAATTATTCCTTCCACTCATAGAAAACGAGAATTGAGGAACGTTTAAATTAATGTTAGGTGGATTGTTGTATACTGAGTATTAAACACATCGATAAAAATTAATCAGGCACAAGAAAGATGGCCTGTTTCAAGAGCATAGTTAACCTGCCACTGGAAGTCTATATCAGAAGAAAATGTTCACCTGTTCATAACACGATTATCAGAGTTCTGAATTCGGAAATTTCAAAAACGTTTCGAGAGCAAGCATCAATCAAGAGGATACAGGTGAGAAAAAAAATTCCAAAAATTATCTGTTCAAGTATGAATTTCATACTTCTGGAACTACAATCGTAATTTTTGAATTTTATAAATTATCCCAACGAAAATGCATCATTTTGATCAGAAATGCGTACTTTCATCACATGAACTTCGATCCAAGAAATTACGAACTCATTTAGAGGTCAGACACAAAACATCCTCATGTCGAAGTTACACTCCATTATTCCACTAGTAACACAGGAAAAATTATGTTTCATCCACTGAAGACTACTTTATTCTCCATTCCATCATTCAGTATTTCTGGTATCACTTTGTATAGGCTTTCATAGAATTTTCTTTGTTCGAACACGATCACATATCCTACGACTATACATACAACGTTGATTCTTCGGAGAAGAATTCCAACTTTCAATTTCATTCAATTAATCGTCGAAATAATGTATTACTTTGAATAAATATACATAACACGATTATCAGAGTTCTGAATTCGGGAATTCCAAAAAACTCTCGAGAGAAAGCATCAATCAAGAGGATACAGGTGGGAAAACAATTTTCAAAAATTATCTGTTCAAACGGAAAGGTGACGACCACGATGCAATTTCACACCCATTCAATTATCACCCTGTAGCAATGTTATCTGAAATTACAGAAGTTTCATATTGCCACAACAAACTGTCAATAGATTAGGCTGATCATCGGTTGAAATCGATTTCTAATTGGTGCAGAAATTTGTGAGTTATTCTACTTTGAATTCAGACTATATCTTGGAGCACGACTTTATCAATGTTTACCAGTTTATTTTGGTTCCGATTGTGGTAGGGAATTTTTGAGAGAGTCCAACAAGCTGTTTTAGTCCGGTTTGAATTAGATGGTGGAAGTTTTTCTAACAACTATCTAATATTCTTATGTTTCAAGCCTCCAGAATTTCATGCTGGATGGGATGGAATCCTGAATGCTACTCAGAATATCAAGTTATGCAATCAGTTCGCCTTTCCATATGCACCAGAAAAGAGGGAAGTAAATCAAGTCGTGGAGACTGAAGACTGCTTGATCCTAAACGTCTTTACACCAGTGGTAAGTGAATCTTCTTTTCCTGTGGAAATCTCTGGGAAGCATTCTATTGGTATCTCTAGAACGAGTTCTATTCAACCTCACAAACTCACCCAAGTGGCCGCAGATTGAAAAATTTCACTCATATATGTCATTATCAGTTGAAAATAGTTATTTTTCTACTCACATCACTAAGATGGCATTTAGCGTACGGATATGTACCACGCTAAATGATCGATTAATCACGGATTGTCGATCTGTGATTTATTCGAAATATTAAACACGTTACCATGGCAATAAGATTTCTTAAACACATTACCATGGCAACGCAGTTCATTAAACACAGCTTCAGTAATTTGAGACATATCTCGCCTGTCAATTGTATTAACTGACAACTGTAATTTTCATATTTTGTATCAGAATTATTCAAACAATATACAATATTCGTTTGTATCATAATTCTTCATTAAAAATATATGCGAAATGTAGACGAAAGTGAAATCGAAGAGAATGTTCTGGTACTTGTATATCTCCAAGAAGTGTAAAAATGAAGCATCCATCTTTGAGAACAATTTATTTATTCAGCGCTAAGCATGACAATAAACGTGAAACAAAGGTTAGTAATCAATGGACTGGACACATCTACAACCAATATCCCTTATACGTGTCTCGCTGGTTGCATGCAGTTGCATGTATTATGTTCTCAATTCCCATTCCTTTCGAATTATTTTTTAGGTAGCAGGAATTGCAGGTATGTTAATGTTATTTTCGGAGTTCGTAGAAAAATCATAGTATGTAACACGTTTATAAACTCTTCTAGACACTCGTTTATTAAACACTCGCTCCGCTCTGCTCCGCTCGTGCTTAACATACTCGTTACTAAAAGGACTTTTATAACACTTGTTACATAATATACTATTATGCAACAAGTGCAAAAAGTGAATGTAAATTAGGCCGAGTTGGACAACACGTCGAGTGCAATAAACAATTTTTGCACGAGTTGCATACAACATTTTTTCTACGTTCATGCAAAAAGCAAAAAATGATTTATTGAGGTCTAGGTTCTATTCTGTTAATTGTCAGAATTAATTTTTGACTGACGTTTCTATAACCACAGTTGCAATATAAAAAATGTTTGTCATGATGACAGCACGTTGAAGTAGAATGACAAAAGAGTTCAATAAAAACTTTATTGCGTAACCTAGCAAATTTTAGGGGGTAATAAGTGATAAAATTTAGTTATGATTCTACCCCTGAGTTGGCTGTTAACCTGCCTGAGATTTACTTGGTGTTTTAATTATTCTCAAAAGTTTTGCTACAAAATATAGTGTTTTAAGTGCCTAGTTTGAGACTGTAGAAACCAAACACTAGTAGTTCAGCGGGACAATGGGGTGGGTACGTTAAATGCCAAAAGTAGGGTGAATATATAAATTTAATAATAAGAAAACTTGAAAAATACAAATTCCACTAGAATTTTGCCTTTATCTCAATGAAAACCATCAATTAGCAATATTTTATATCACAACTAGGGACTGTCTGAAATCAACTCTTCAGTACATCCCTTATAATCAATTTATAACAAAAATGGAAATAACAGATATATATATATATAGACAAGGTGATAAAGCAATACCGCAGTGCACGTTGGTTTCCAATATATGAATGACTTGATAATACTAATAAATGGTACAATTTGGGGTATTTCACTTATAACTCAGCATAAACGGTAATTTTCAACCCTTCTAAGTGGTAGCGGTATTTGGTGGTAGTTTTCCACTTCCAAACGGGTACTAATATGGAACAGACTCACCAAAATTGAAGGTGACAGGCGAATATGTTCAACTGTGGAGTCAAGCTGTCAAGTACAGGGTGTAGGCGGCCACGTCGTTCATATACAGGGTGTTGATGTTACCGCCAAGATACAGGCAGGATACAGGTACATATACAGGGTAGACTTGCAGAGATGTCTAGGTCTCAGCTACAGAACAGCCTGATGGTATTCTCAGGGCTCCTGGGCCATCAGCAGGCTCTTCTATTGGGCTTGCAAAAATTGGCTGCAGCCCCACTCAACCAGTTAACCCTTGAGGTGAATGTCACGTGGTGGATGAAAGGTCTCGGAAATAATTCCGGGAAAATAAGAACCCTAAACGATAAAAAAAGAAAATGGTTGTGTGCCACTCGAAAAATAATCAAGATTAAATTCCATACCTGATGTGATGGTGGTCGGGTTCTTGATCGGCTGATGTCAGCCTCGTGGCTTTCGGCCTTAAATCCCTCCAATTTGAGGTATGGTACCAAAACCAAAATTGATCACCATGAAATGAGAATTCGAATCGATTTAATCCCAACACTAATGAGGAAAGAATAAATCAAAATATGTACAATGCGAAATCGAATCTCTGGCTTACTTGTCACACGAGTTGGATCAACCTTCTCCAGGAAAAATGGCGAGATATCTCGTGAAGATGATGGGCCGTCCTTCAACCGGAAGATCGGTCTTCATCTCAAAAACGCCCCATACCTCAGGAAAGTGTTGGTGGGAGATTTTCCCGCGAACACACTGTAGATGATATTTTACCACCACAGAAAGATGAGAGAATATCCTAGCTCCAACAAGAAAATACTTAATTCACCCGATATTAGTAAACATTAACAATTTTCCATTTAGTTTTCGTGGAAATTGAGTTTTCGGCGGTCAAAGCCGTTTTGTCTACACAACAAATTTCAAACAGAGACATGCGCAGAAAGGCCTCGGAACTACGTCGACTCATGACGCAATCCTCTTCTTTTCCGATGGATGAACGACTTCATCGAACGAGACATAAACACTAGGGTTATCACACCTACTATCCGATTTAAACAACAAATCACTATTTTGAAAAATCCCGACATCATGCTGAGCTTAGTCCTTCCATAATCAATCAATTTTGAGGGCCATTCAAAAATCGATGAAAAATGATCTACTGTCAATGACAGATGTTAGCAACTGCTGAAAGTACGAAGAATCATAAAAATAATGACATTGTCCTTCAAAATAAAGCAGAGCAGCTCGCAAATATCGGTCAACTGTCAGTAGTCAACAATCTGACAGTGATAAAGATTCTGACAGTGATATCTCGCTCAATATTATTGACTGAAAATGTAAACAACGAGCACAATATGATAAATCGACTGATAACTAAAATAGTGAAATGATCCTCGCTAAACTGTTGAATATCCGTGCGCTCGAACATATCGAAGAAGACTGGCTATCATTCCACAAAAACAACAGCGTGAATAAATATTCGAAACCAGAATCGTGAACTACGGTAAGCAACGACAACCAACCTTGTCTTGGGACCCGATAAACTATTTCGATTTCAGGAGCTAAATAAAATAATAAATCACGGCAATAGACTGTATAAAACTATTTGAGATTGCAAAAAGATAATATCAATGACAAATGATGAATAATACACCCATGAACAAACGAAGAATTGAGACAAAAGTACGTGAACAAAACAATTTCGATGTGCTATCAGTGCAGTATTTTCGTTAGGCAAAAACGAAGTGTAACAATTGCACTAAGTGCAATGAAGAACTTCTTTTTCCACTGAATATAGTTCAATAAAGTTCTGCTTCTTGCATAAATGTAGAAAAAAAAATTGAGTATGAATAGTAACATTTAGAATTTGGTAATACGAAAATGTTTCTTAGGCCTCCCAAGGTGGCAAAAATTTTGAATAATGCCAATTGAAATCCTCGTGGCAATATAAATGAGTTAAATCAGTGAGGTGAATCGATGATTCTATGTTATTGGTTGAGATAAATGTGTCTTCCTCACAAAAAAAAGTTCATAGAGGTTATATCAGAATTGCTAAAGTGCAGTACTCTTGGATAAAAAAAGGGGTCTCACCCCAAATTTTGGTCCCTGTATTTCATTTTGGTGTCTTTCGTTAGAATGCCTCTCAGGGATTCAGATATTCGTATCCAGTTTAATATCACTCTACCATCTACAGGGTGTCCGGAGATGGACAAAACTTATTAGGTTATAGGGACTGCCATTATGATTGCAAATTGCCATTTACACATGTCCAAAACTGCTTCGTAACTGACATACAGAGTGATCCATGGATTTTTACATGAAATTCAATCCTTCATATCGAATACAGGGATCTTCCGGTTGGGTTCAAATTTGGTACATGAATTGAAGTCAGGCTTTAACAAGTAGCACTTTGAACGATACTTATATCAGGACCGTGATGTTATTTATTTTTTCTATGTCAAGTTATTGTGAGAATAACTCACCATGTATAATAATTATCAAAAATCTGAGGTCATATAATGTATCAACGGAAAAAATACTGTAGAAAATTGTTCACACATTTCCTGGCAGGATATGAGTCATTCCGTAATAAATTATTATTTAAATGTTTTCATCGATTGGCGAATAAAATATCAGCAATAATGGAAAAATAATGAATATTTACGAAATCAAAACATAGTTGTTGTTATTCTCTCTGATAACTCCGTAGATATATTTAATGATTATTCTCTCCCGTGATCAGAAAAAAAAACTGAAGAATACATCCGTATCAGGACAGGAATGATCATTTTTCATGTTCTTGTAAGTAAAAGGTGTACCTGGAATGTCTGCTTAAAATCTGAGACATAGTCCTGAGGTCGAAATAAGCCGATTGAAAGCAATTCACCTCTGTTCGGAATTGTTCCGTTACAGAGTGGTGAATTTAAAAAAAAATCAACAGCAACAAAAAAGTATTCCGGAAAATCCATTTTTGCACTACCCATTCAATGACCAAATGACATCCATGAAGATAACAGCAAACATGCATTTTTTTCTCAATATAATTCGAAGACTCTGGTGCGGGTTCGAACACTTAAAACCGGCTATTGTCGAAAACGGCTTAGTTCAGCGAATTCGCACAAGAGTAACCTTCTTGCTAAAAAATATTCAGAAAGTCATTTCTACAACTAAAAAGGTGAAGGAGTACATTAACCCTTAACTATTAATCATACGTCTCAGA